TCAGCCTCTTTCTAGATGGCTTTCCATTTTACCAAATACCAGCATTTTCTCCTGTGACTGATGGGGATTATTGTTAAGTAAAACGGAATTGTAGTCTTAGTCACTGAAGTGAGCTTAACTGAAATTAATCCTTCATATTATATCCGCCTATTCTGATTTAGAACAATAGGGGTGGAAGGGGACATTTCACAATACGTGAACAAATCCTCATTGAGTGCATAAATCTAAATTAAAGCCGCCCTGACAGGGCGCTAAGCAGCCTCTCTTGACGCTATCTAGCAAAAGGTATCCCCACTGACCTGGATAATTGGTTTCACTATTGAACTGCTTTTACAGTTAGCACTGGGCTGGAGAAAATGGAACTTAAGGTTCAACTTGTCTGGAAATCATCACATTACAAAAAGCTGATCTAGATACATTAGGGCATACGAGTTTGAGAGTAAGATCCTTTACATATTATATGAATAGACATTGACAGGATTTTGCTATAAGTTAACATGGTTTTAAAATGGCTGGATGATCCTCATGACAGTATATTTATTGTGAGATTCAAGTTTCTTGCACTTTGGAATCAGTACAAATATAAGGGCAAGATTAGAGGTTTCAAAGTTGTTGCATCATCTTTACAAGTAAAAAAGCTAGATTTTTTTAAAAAAAACTTGGCTTGAATTTTTTCCATTTAATAACATAATTTTGCAGGCTTATTACTTTATTTTCTGTTATGTTTTCATTTATTGTAATTGTACCCATTCATACAGATTCATCCATTAGGATAGGATAGGAAGTCGCTCGAATTGAGGCAATTTGGCTTAAAGTTTAAATTAAATTTCTCAGTACTATTCTCTGCACAGAAAATTCTTTTTAATAATACCATTTCTGGTTTCCAGTAGCATAATCGAAAGGTTTTCTTAGAAAACAAAGCATGAATGTTTAGATATGTACATTGAATTCCTAGGGCAGCTGTAATTTAATTTGGGCACATAAAAGATGAAGGGGCTGGCATCAGAGATGGAGTCTTAAAATTACCAGATTGTGAAAAAGAACTAGGAGAGAGAACGGCAATGGAGATGTAATGGCTGGTGGTTCAGATGGTTCTAGAAAAGTTCTGGCTGCTGAAGATTAATTACTGGCTTTAGTAAAGAGCAATGATAAGTGGTAATCCTGAAATGGATTGGACAGTATTACACCGCTGAATCTTTCTATTTGTTCTTGGGATCGTGAAGTGGAGAAGAACATGATCTGGAGAAGCATGTGAAAGTGAAAAAAAGGACACATTGTGAGAGAAAATCTCTTCACAGATGATCTCTCAGGAATGGAAGATTATGGAAAATTAAAAGTGTTAGAAGCCAGAGCAAAGCCATGATCCAATTTGGCTGACAGAGGGAATTAAACCTCTTCTTGATTCTAAACAGTAATATTTAGAAACAGAGTACATTTGGGTTAAACTACAAGTATGCCTTGCCAGAAAATATATACACTCTTTAGTGAAATAAAGGCCATCCATTTACATGCATTTTCTCTGCTTCTTATCAGTAGCTAAGAGAAGGCAGGAGCACCCCTGTGTGGTTTGTACAGTTGTAAATAACCTTGCTGTGGAAGGTGATTAGAAGTGAAATTAAAAGCTGTTTGTTTAATAAAAGGGAGGAACAGTCTGAAATGTTGTTTTGCACTGGACTTTCTATCAAATTCTGAGACCCTACAGGAAACCTCAGTCCCAATGCAGAACAAAAGAAAATTACATTATCTTGAGGTAGATTTACTGTATATCTTCACTATTTCCTAGAACCCAGCACTTAATTTTAAGGGCCATTATACTGCACAGTGAAAGAAATTCTTTCAAGTTATCTCTGTGTATTTCTAAATTGTGTGGTAATCTGTGCAGATTACCTTTAACACTGGTAGTAAATTTAGCCTTTTCAAAAGCATCACAAGAAAAAAGTGTTCACATAAAGTCTAGATTCCTTTTTCTATTGTGTTCTTGGTATATTCAACAATTAAAGCACTGATTGAGGTTACCCAGAAGAATGATCTCTATCCCTAAAGCAGGAAATGTATGATCTGGGCTGACAACAAATTTTTTCTGCATACCTTTGCACAAATAGGCACATTAAATATTACATTCCTGACATTTTAAGCCTGTATAACCATTAGGAATTGGGTTCTTGTATCATTAAAAGAAAAATTAAAGACGTATTATTTATTTCTATGACTGTATACTTTTCAACATTGAGACTTTGAGTTTGTTAAGCATAAATAGTACTATCTCTAATTGAAATTTTTGTATCTGCTATACACACAAACACACAAAATGTATGTCATATAGAAATGGAAGACTAGACAACTGTAACTGAGACAATGGCGTCAAGAAAACATTATACAAAGTGACAAAGACAATCACTTGTAAACTGTTGTCAAGAATACTACATGGATGTGTTCACAAAATTCCCAGGATTCAAAGTTGAGTTGAAGGCGAATTTACATATAACTATTTAAACTAGGAAAACAATATGTAAATTGCAAGCCATCCTACTATGATCAACATGTCTTATATAATACAATGAGAACTAGAATTAGATGGGGCCATTTAAACTATTGACTCCACTTCTCTGCTAAGTGCAAGGACCCAAATTCAAGCATCTCCAACAGGGAGCTATCTGGGCCCATCTTCAACGCACTCAAGAAAGGTATCTATACCTTTCTTGATAATCTGCTTTTACTGTTAGAAAGGTTTTTTTTATAACATTGAAGATGAATCTGATTTCCTAGAATGTGAATCCATAATATAGCAAGGTGGAATGACAGAAAACAGATCCTGACCTTCTTCTGCATGACATTCTTTCAGGTATGGAAGATGGTTTTATATGCCCCTAAGTATTTTCTTTTCAAGCTTAAACAAGTCCATCTCTTACTCATGAGACTTAGCTTAAAAATCCTTGAACTTCCTTGTTGCTATTTCTCAAACTTGTTCTATTTTCCTTGAATCCTTTCTGAATCATGGTGGCCAGACTTGGACATGGCTTTTGTGCTGTGATTTGACCAAAGCAGAATAAAATGGAGTTGCAACTTCTCATGATTTGAGAACACTATTTCTGTTGATGTAGTATAAAATAATATTACTCTGTTCTGCAACACAATCAAACCGCTGAATCATATTCAACATGCAATCAACTATAAGAACCGTAGTGGCACAGTGATTAGATTGCAGTATTACAGGCTGATTCTGCCCACTGTCAGGAGTTCAGTCCTGACTGGCTCAAGGTAAACTCAGCTTTCTGTCCTTCCAAAGTCAGCAAAATGAGGACCCAGATAATAATAATAATAATAACAACAACAACAACAACAACAATAACAATAACAACAACAACAACAACAACAACAACAACAACAATAATAATAATAATAATAATAATAATAATAATAATAATAATAATAATAATAATAATAATAATAATAATAATAATTGGAAGGGATCTTGGGATCTTGGAGGTCATCTAGTCCAACCCCCTGCTCAGGCAGGAAACCCTATACCATTTCAGACAAATGGCTGTCCAGTGTCTTCTTAAAAACTTCCAGTGTTGGAGCATTCACCGTTTCTGGAGGCAGGTTGTTCCACTGGTTAATTGTTCTAACTGCTAGGAAGTTTCGCCTTAGTTCTAGTTTGCTTCTCTCCTTAATTAGTTTCCATCCGTTGCTTCTTATTCTGCCTTCAGGCGCTTTGGAAAATAGCTTGACTCCCTCTTCTTTGTGGCAACCTCTGAGATATTGGAACACTGCTATCATGTCCCCCCTCGTCCTTCTCTTCATTAAACTAGACATATCCAATTCCAGCAACCATTCCTTATATTGTGGGGGGCAATATGCTGAATCTGTAAACTGCTTAGAGAGGGCTGTAAAGCACTATGAAGTGGTATATAAGTTCTATTGCTACTGTTTTAAGATGTTTTATCACATAGCCAGTGATAATGTGCCTGCACATAGGATTTTTCTTTCCAAGTAACTTTGCCCTTATTTCTATTAATTTTTTTGTTACCTTTCATATAGCTGCATCAAGAAATTCTAATTGTTATTTCTGTCATTCAAGCTATTAATTATTCCACTCAATTCTATGTTACCTGCAAATTTGATGGCATTCTACTGACTGCTTCATTCAAGTCATAGTAAAAGCCCTGAAGAGTAATAGTCCTGGTATAAACCTTCCACACTCCATTCAATCCTGTATATCTCATCAGTCTGATTGCAAAACATTGTCTGAGTACAATTTTGGGGTCAATAATTGTCATGTCCTCCAATATATACAAGTAACTTGTTAATTAGCACATCATGATATACTTTTTCTGCATTTTGGAAGATAGGCGTGGATGTCTTCAGGCTCCTGCTGCTTTTATCAAAATGACCATTACGTCATCACACTACAAGCTCTATCCCTTTGGGGTCTGCATGCAAAGCATATGGATCTGGCATCACAATGTCACAAAGCTTCTTTGATCAGACCAACCTGTTTAACTCCCACTCTACTCATATCACTGAAAATAGGAACTACATTTGCTGTTTTCAAGTTATCTAGCACTTTATTCTTTCCCAGTTCTTTAATCTTTCTCAAAGATAATAAATAACATTTCATCAAGCCTATCAGTATTTGTTTCAATATGCCAGGAAGCAATTTGTTTGGCCCTGGAACTTTATAATCATTGAAGAATTTAAAAAAAGTATTCCGTGACCCCATTTCTGTCAAATTTAAATTTCAGGTTTTTGACTTTTTAATTGCTTGTTTATTTTTATGATTACTTTCATTGCTTTTAATCCTAAAGTGTAAGTCACCTAGAGTTACTTCTGTAATTGAAGTGGCTGCACCTTGATTAGATAGATAGATAGATAGATAGATAGATAGATAAATAGATGATAGATAGATAGATAGATAGATAGATAGATAGATAGATAGATAGATAGATAGATAGATAGATAGATTGTTGTCCCTTTCTCCTCCCCATCACAATTTACTGAGAAAGTTGTTGCTAAACAAAAATAGGAGTTGAAATAGCTGATTTTCTTTATTACCTAACATTTTGGGATCTTCATTGATTCTTTTACTTGAAGATATGTAGATAAGTCCTTTTTGTTACTCCCAGCATCAATTGTCAGTTTCAATTTATTTTCAGCTTCCACTTTCTTGGCACCATATTTATACCAAGGGGCCCATTTCCTCTTTCCAACCCTGCTATATGTTTTCTTTTTTCTTGTTTTCAAAACATTTGTACTTTTATATAGCTATTATATCATTTTAGTTTCTGCTCAATATGCACCCCTAGGCATTTCAGCAATTCATAATCCTGAATTTCTGGAAGTACAGTGAATTGTTCCTCAGCAATAAGAAATAATCTTGCAGAGTTAAGTATTCTCAAAGCGGAAACAGTCACGGTTAGGAGAGCAGCACTGATTTTAAAAATTTTTCAAAATGCTTATCAGGTAAAGGCTAGTGGTCAATAATTTCATTCCAGGAAGAGCAGAATGAGTACATATGTTTTTAAAATAAATTGGTGAAATGTATATCTTATATGTTAAACCAAAATGTAAATAATTGTTATACTCAATTCTTGAAACAGCCATGACTTAGATTTTTTAAAAATAACACTCTCCTCTTTTTCCCCCGTTTTTCTTTTAGGTGGACTGCATTTCTTTTTATGAAGTTTCACTAATGGCTTGACATTGGAAAATTAAACAGAATTCTCATCATGGAGAATACAGATGGTATGGATTCAAACTTCATCTTAATTGAAAGTCAAACATTTCCATTATGAAGCCTAATTTCTCTTTTACTAAGAAGGAATAAACCCACTTTAACTTTTGAAATGTCCTTTTTTTACATATTCACTCCATCAGTGTTCAAAATCTATCCGTACAATGGCAGAAAGTGGTATTTCAGAAAGTATGTATTTTTGAATGGTGCCATTGATAATCGTTTCTGATAAATGATTAGAAATTAGAAAGGTGGGGTGATTCAGAATTACAGATTTATCAAACTGCCTTTCCCCTTGATCTGTGGAAAGAGACTCGAATGCATAAATTCTAACCAAAAACTATGCAAGTAGGAGATCCAGACAGCATTTTAGATAAAAAGGCTGGAAAAGATATCCCAGACAAAGTTGGCAGAATTATGTTTTATGAATGGGTAGTCTTTAAACAGAACTAGATATTTAGCACCAATGCCAGCTTGGTTTTCATTGTGAAGAGCATTAATGGGTTTGTTCTTATTGAGATTGGATTAATATTGAAGTCTATTTTTCTATAGTTACAGATATGTATACATAGACACAGACTTATCCCCAAACAGAGTCAAGAATAATTTGGCTTTGAATTAAATAAAACAATTTAATCAAATTAACTAACCAAATAATTGATTTTGGCCCTGTTGTAGTATTTCTTTCACTTGTCTATTTGGGGAGAAATTTAATTTTTTGTACGCAGTATTCCCCCCCCCCCCCAAAAAAAAAAAACAGATGCAAGTGCCAAAAACAGATTATGCAGTGAAGTCTATTTAGCAAGTGTTGCTCTTAGAAGACTATTAACCAAGGCCTAAATAGTATTATCTATTTAGCCTTATAGACTAAATAAACATCTGGGGCTCTGCCATCTTGTGTGCCCACTGAAACATTCTTACATTTTAAAAAGAGCAAGGCTAACATAGACAGCATTCTTTTTCTTTTATGACAAATGTTAAATCCATGCCAGTAAGTACTTGTCATGGTTAGAAAACATGTTGAAAAATGCATTATCATCACCAAATCTTATAGTAAAGATTTCATATATATTCGAATCCTGCGGCTTTTAAAGCAGATCTGTACCTGAGCCTGCAGAAGCTGTTGTTTACATAATTATCAATAAAGGTGATGACTTAGCAAATTCCTGAGGACTTATAGTGGAACAATGATCTGTGCAGTCAGAGAAAATAAGTTTAATATATTTCCACCTCCCTCTTTAGGGCTGTATCTTCTAGCTGACTCTACAGAGATGTCTTGGATGACAAATTGCCAGCTGTACTTTCCCTCTTTGCCTCGTAGATAGAGACTAACTGCACAGTGATTTAATGAAGCTGCCTTGTAGTTGTGCCTGGAGCTATAGCTAGCATTAGAATAAAAAGTTATGCATACTAATACAGGCTGATTTTCGTCAGTGCTGGAATAGGTCTGTGTTGCTGCAACCTAAAGGCAGGCAGATTTTAGGAAAATCAATAGGATGACTTAAACTTAACATGTCTAACTCTTCTTGTCTGGTATTTAGTTTTCTTTCTTTTTTATTTCCTGCCTTTCCTCCAAGGAATTAAGAACAACATTTTAAACTTCCTTGGGATGAAACCTGATAAACTCAAAAAGATCAGCCTTAATCAGTCTATTATTAATATTCTGTGTGCAAATGTTACTTGGTGAAGACCAATGCATACATATTTCCTTCTGGCCTTTCCTTAGAACTTGATCCTCATGTAATTTATGCAGTGAAATCCTTGGAATAAGAATGATGCATGATAAATGTATGGCTTGCTTCGGTATAAAAGTTATTTATGTCCAATCAGAAGTAGAAAGGAGAGCTTTATAGGATTCTTCCATTTTCAAGCCAACAGCTATGCAGTATTAGAACAGATGTGTAGAGTTTCCTGAACAATTAATCTAAAAAGAGAATAAACTGTCCTAAATGTTATTCCTAAATATTTAGGTTTGCCTTCAACTATTTATATGTATCAGGAAGAGCGAACATGGGGATAATAATCAGATTTCTGGATTGCAATATTATCTCTTGTAAATTAAAGCTTTTATTTTTTGTTTCTATTTTTTCCACGTTAGCAGATAACTGGGCATCAAAAGCAGAGGATAAAGATCCACCCCAAAGTCCCTATTCTGTTGAAACCCCATATGGCTTCCATTTAGATCTTGACTTCCTGAAGTATGTCGATGACATTGAAAAGGGAAATACTATCAAGAGAATTCCAGTCCGCCGGAAAACAAAGCACCCCAAATTTAGCACCCTGCCTCGGAATTTTAGCCTTCCAGAAAATGGATCCAGTGTCTATTCATCCTCCTTAAACAAGAGTTTCCTTACACAGAGAAAGACCTCTTTGGATGCAGAGGAGAGCAGATCCCTGGTCACACCCATTGACATGTCTTCATGTTCACCTCTTCCCCAAGAACCGAGCTACAGAAAGAAAGCCCTGCTAATAGAGACTGTCAAACAAGTTCCTCTTCCCCTTGAAGAGGATACTGCTAATTGCAAAGGAAGGCCTCAGCTTCTAAGGGCATCCAGTATGCCTGCCAAACTTCCACCAATTCCAAATTTAGAAGAAGAAACTCATCAAGCAGTTTTTCTCCCTTCGGGATTTCTTCAGTCTTCCAACGGAAATGGTTTAGAGCTTGATTTTAGCCCTGCAAAAAAACCATCTGAGTTAAATAGTTCCAAAAGATCTTCATTACCCCCTCATGAAAACCTAATAGATTTGAAAGAGCAAATCAATAAAGACATCCAGGATTCTGATAAATGTCCAGGACTAAGGAGAGAAGTTCAACAACAAACAGAGCTTCCTAAGGAAATAACACAACTCAGTGATCCACAGCAAAGCCAACCCCTAATTTCTCAGAAATCCCCTGAGGTGGTTGAGAGTGGAGAAGAATGCCATGCGACACAGGTGAATGTCTGTCCATCATCCATTCAGAGTAGATTGGCCCCTACTGGTACCTCAGAAAACATGTCTATAAAGCAATCCCAGGAAGAAGTAGAACTTAACATATGTGAGACTGTTACAGAAGAAGTAGAGGAAGAGGATGAAGTTACAAGTCTTAGTACTAGAGAAGTGGAAAAAAATATAGAACTTGAGCCCTTCCTTCTCACAGCTCCCAGCAATATAAGAGCATTACAGCAGCACATTGCAATTCTGGAGAAGCAGCTGAATAACAAAACAGAAGAACTTGAGCAGATCCGGGTGGTTTTGAAGCAACAGGATCAAGAAATGAAAGCAAAAGAGAGAAGCATTGAATTGCTAGCAAGTTCTAAAGCACAGCTGGAAGAGAAACTCTGTGGGGAGAACATCAAAGAAATTAAGCCAGGTGTGCAGGCCAGAAAGCCCCCCCAATACCTTGATGTTGCTGTGAATACCGAACATGTACATGAAAAGATAACACATGAAATTGCTGAAAGCATCACAGAGCCTGTGGAACTTCTAGGAGGTGATACTTATGAGGCTGATGATAAAAATGTGGAAATATGTAAGGAGTTACTCTGTGCTGAGATATCAAATGTTTCTGCTGATGATGGAGGAAGAGATAAACCTATTTTTCAGAGCAACAAGGATGGAGAAAGAATCGGTCAGGACAGTGATTGCTCCATTGTGGAACCAAGCTATAATGAGCTACATGTTGATAATGAAAACAACAAGACAGAAAGAAACCCTTTGACCGCTCAGCTGTTGGTTCCTGGTGAAGAAAATTGTTCTGGTCCCAAGACAGCTGACATAAAATCCAAAGGAATGCAAATCATTTTTCAAGAAGATGCACAGCGAGTTCAGGAGGAACAGAATCATCAAGAAGAAAAGGAATCACCTGCAGACCCCATTGTGGGCCAATATATTAAAAAAATCCAGGATCTCTTACAAGAGCAGTGGCTGTGCCTTGAACATGGGTATCCGGAGCTAGCCAGTGCAATAAAGCATCCTGCCTCAAAGCTCAGTTCGATCCAGAATCAACTTGTTAATTCTCTGAATTTGCTGCTCTCTGCCTACTCAGCACAGACACCAACAGACCAAGAGAATTCCAACACACAGTATCAACAGTTGGGTAAATAGTTTCGACAAAGCCCCTTTCATTATCTTACACTGATAGTATTCAGGGATAGCACCACTTGAGAAACAAATAAAGTAGACATAATTGCCTTTTTTCCAAAATAAAAAGGTAAAACTCAGATATTTATAGAACATTCCCTGGTTGTTGTTTTTTTTAAATGAAACATAGCTTAATGTACTGTCCATACCTTCTTTGCGGTTGTCTGGGAAAATCTCAAAGAAGTTATGTACTAAAATCCTGGGCTCCCACTAAGTTAATATTTAAAAATACACTATGACTTATGAAAGAGGATTTATTTGTACATGTTTATATAAAAAAGCTAGTATGAGGCAAATGATAGAAAAACAAGCAAAAGTTAAGAAAGAAGCTTAAGTGTAGAAGCTCTGGAATTTTAAATGTTTTTCAAGTAGAACAAGAAACTTATACTAATTGGAATGCAAAAGATGCTCATTGTGTGCATGTAGGGCTCAATAAGTCAATAATCCTGATCTTGAGTTGGTAGCAGTCTGGGAAATCATCCCTTTCACTTATTTAGTTCAAGATTCCCAAATTCCCTTTGCATATAAACAGGCATACATTATGATAAAAGTAGGTCAATGCAAATAGTCTTTGACTTACAGTGGCAACTGAGCTCTAAATTTCCATTGCCAAGCAGCATAGTTGTTAAGTGAGTTTTGCCCCATTTTATGACTTTTCTTGCCACAACTGTTAAGTGAAACACTGTAGTTGTTAAGTTACTAGCACCGTTGTTAAGTAAATCTGGCTTCCCCATTCACTTCACTCGTCAGAAAGTCACAAAAGGTGATTGCACAACCCCGGGACACTGCAACTATCATAAACCCATGCCAGTTGCCAATGACCAAGGTGTGTCTGTGCTGCAACGGTTGTGTGAAAAACGGTTAGGGTTAGGGTTACTTCTTCAGTGCCGTTGTAGCATTTGAACTAAACAAATGGTTGTAAGTTGAGGAATACCTGTAGGACAAAACTGATTCTACCATAAGCATACTAGAACGGACACCAGATGTTTGGGAACATTGGGTCTTGAGCACCATGGCTACTTATTTCTGTCAAAGCTTTGAATGTCATGTAACTTGTCCTTGACTCCAGATTTTGACCTCCTCAATGTTGTTGGACTGAGCTGCCATCTAAGAAACCTCTTTATGTAGAATAGAGAGGGAGCTCCATTTTGTGCTTTGCCTTAGATAGCAAAATACTTTGTCAAGCGTTCCTGATCCTGGGCAAACCCTGACACTGATGCCCCTTTTTGATTTAAATTAAGGACAGTTTAAAGTTTAAATGTAAGGTTTGTCACACGTAAAACAGCAACAGCAAAGTCACTCTCAGATTCTACTTTTCAATCTCTTGTGATAATAGAAAAGCAACCAATAGTCTTCCTTCTCTTTCATGCATTATCGACATTCTAATTTTTGCCATGCTATCTCGGAATGATCTGGGTTTTCTACTTTGCTGTCTCAGCGGGTGACAATGTGACTTAGAGAGCTGAATGTGGCTGACAAATAACAGACTTTGGCATTTTCAGAAACCTTGTACAGATCCTCCGCCTTACATCTTAATGAACAACAAGACAGAGAAAAGGCCTTATTCATGTTCCATTTCACAAATTTTTGTTCTCATAATTTACGCAATGTAGGATGTCCTTTCCCAAGCGTATTGAAAGTTGATTCTCATACTATTCCATTCTGTCTCTTAAAATTTTCTGTCAAATGTCATAGTTCAGTTTGAAATTAAAAATGAGAATGTCTTTGCTCTTGTGCCTAAAATGCCCAAAAGGAAGATATTAAACAGACTTGGTAGGTCCCGAGGGTTTTCAAATCAAGAAAACAATGAAGGGACAAAATCCTAAATGGAAAATAGAAAAACTGTGGGAAATAGGGAAGGGATTTTTTTATGTTGGACACATCATCCCTATTCAATCAGTTCTTTCATTAATAGTGCAGAATTGAGGAGGGATCACTTGGTTTCCTTCTTTCAGTCTCTCTTCTGCCATTTTATACATAAAAGGCTTAAACATGGTATAAAAGAAAGGCCACCACCCATGCTATTTATTCACAATATAGTTTCCAGTGGTTCTGGAAAAGTTTGTGCCTTTTTATGTATAGAGATATAGGTAAATTTATGCCTGTTTTTCTGGTTTGTCTCCTTGCATTTTCCTGCTTTTGCCTTGCTTTTGCCAGTTAACTGTTTTGGTGTGTGCTGATGTTTAATAAATAAACATCAAGCCATGTCTTTTTTTTCTACCTGAATTGAGTGGTATGTGCTTGCTTTGGTCTGGATAGGGGGATTGAGCATGCTAGCTAAAAATTAGATTGGAATATTAAAATAAGTTCCCAACATTTTAGGCCATCTAACATGATTCCAGAACCCTGCCAAATGGTGCATACTTGGTGATACTACCAAATATGTTGCCATCCCAATGTATAATCAATCATAGCACATGATATGACATACAGCAAAACATTTTAGCAAATTCAGGAAGATCTTCTGTAATGTATAGGGCACCTATGAAGTTCAGAAAGTGACCCATTTGAAGATTTTCAATGTGATGAAGAGATAGGCAATTTGTTGTCCTCTTACAATCTTTTCCACCAATCAAGTGTTGCCCAGATATTTTGGATTTTAACTTTTATCAGCTGTGGCTTATCAAAATACCTGGGCGACATCAGATTGCTTGCATTTGTCTGAAGATATTAAACCACACAACTATCTATTCTTGTGTTTAAGAGAAAAATTGTAAGGCAATTAATGCTGAAAGAAAACTATGCACTAAGTTTGTAATTTGAATATAAAGTTTTAAATTTCAGAACTTAAAACTATGTAGATACATTTGAAAAGAAAGAGTCTTAATTTGTGCTAATAATTTAAAGTCACAATTAGTTAGCTCAATTCAATAATCCTTTGACAAGAAGAACCAATAACCAATTTTTCATACTGAGACCTAGTGCTCCATTGTGGAGATAAGCAAATTAATTCCTTCCAAATGTTATGTAATGCCATCGTCATTAGTTTTATTTTTGCCCAGATTAGGCTAACATAGGTAGCCCTAGTTTTTCAGAGTAGAAATGTCCAGACAATACAATCCAACTGTTTGTTACAAACAACCAAAGAGTGTCTTGTAGCAAAAGATACTGTTATTAGCATTTTATACTAAATGTGAACTCTGGTAGTCTTTTTCATTGTGGATAAGAGCCAGTTTGGTCTGTTGGTTAAGGCACCAGGCTAGAAAGCAGGATACCATGAGTTCAAGTCCTGCCTTAGTCATGAAAGCCAGATGGATGACCTTGGGCCAGTCACTCTCTTGCAGCCTAACCCACCTCACAGGATTGTTGTTTTTGTATGGAAAATAGGAGGAAGAAGATGTGTTAGATTGTTTGTAAAAATAATAAAGATGGGATACAAGTAAGTAAGTAAATAAGTAAACAAACAAACAAACAAATATTATCTAGAATATCTCAGATTAGTTGCCCTGGTTCTGCAGTTGGCAATTTGTCATGTGGAGTAGGTCTAGCTCAAGAAATGTACTTGGCAGTATTGATAGACAACATAATGCCTTTTCAAGGCACCTTAGACTGATCATGGGACAACATCCTTCACTATGTCCGAAGGCAACAGACTGGAGTCTAGGTTGGACTACGTTGGACTACTAATATCTACTAATATCTCACTGCTGCTTAATACCACTCCCGTATGCTTGCTTGTTGCCTTTCAGAGAAATGCTGTATGTTGAGAACTGTTGTTGTTTGATCCAATTCTTTTCCTATTCACTTACAGCTCTTTATCAGCCCAATTGGAAAGATGACAATTAAAAGTTAGCTTGAGAAATGAGTCAAATCATCACTGAGTCAATTCAGGGCAATGAGGGAAAAGGGGAATAATGTCCATTGTCACTCATAGCATCTTCCATCTGAACATGATAATTCAAATTAGTGCTGACTCTTAGCAACAACACAGGTAGATTTGCTCCATAATAATCTGTCCTTACACTATGGTCTTTCAGGGATTCCAATTGTACACTCATCACCAATTTAACTGAGTCCACCCACCTTGTTACTAGTTGTTCTCCTCTTTCATTCTACCTTCCCAGCAATAGAACATTCTTCAGAGAGCTAAATCTTCCCATAATGTGCCCAAAGTAAGACAATTTGAATCTGGTCATTTGTACCTCTAATGAAATCTCTGGAGTGATTTGTTTGGTGATCCCTGTGTTTATTTCTTGGTTGCTCACAGTATCCCTCAATTCTTGTTCTTATGTTGTCACAATTCTTTTTACGGACTTCAGCTGCCATAATGTGTTAGTATGTCTCACAGTAGATAACAGTATGGAAGATTTTTCTACCGCATCTTCTATGTTAGCTTGAGAGTTCCTGTATATTGGGAAGAATGCATGATGGCTGCATGAAGTCCTGACCACCTAGGAATGTCCATCATGAACATCTGGCATGGGGGGAAAAAATGGCAGTAGAACTCAACATTTGCAACATATATGGTAATATTAAGAAAGAGCGGTGATGATACTATTTTTATATAATTGTTCTAAAACTTATTTCTATCAGAAATCTCTCCAAGCACAAGTCTGAAATCTATTATGAAAAAGAAAGAAGCTGGTTTCCACGAAGGAAGTAACGGCACCAAAAAGAACCTTCAGTTTGTTGGGGTAAATGGTGGGTAAGCATCAGTGGAAGGGACAAGATTGCCTTTTCATTTATAATGCTTCATTGCATGTGTACCCAAAATGATACGGACATGTCTGATTAAATGTAACTTCATTTATTCCTTTTACATTCTACTGTGGATTAGATCGCTGTCAAAAATTGCCAAGAAGCAATAAAGAGAATGTAATTAATAGAAGTCGTATATTCCTGCTTCAAGCGTAATTGATTCCTTGCTTAGAGATCAAGGAGAAGATTCCTTGCTTAGAGATCATCAGAAAAGAAACGATACTCTTTCCAATGAATGAATGAGTAATGGACTATGCAGTAAGCCTCAATACAGGTAGCTTTCAGGTTAGGATGACAATTGGGACCGGCTAAGTGATGGGGTTGTAAAATGCAGTGTCACATGATCACATCATGAAACCCTGACAATTCCAGCAATCCTGATTGCCATAGTTAAGCAAGGACTGCACAGGCTGTTAAGCGTGGATCTCACATGACTGCAACTTCTGATTTCCTGTTGGCTTCCCAATTGACTTTGCTTGTGGGACGTCGACAAGGAACATCAGAAATTGTAATCACAGGAATTGTAACTGACTACAGGAACTCTGAGGATTGCTCATAAGTCCCTCTTGTTCAGCGCCATCACAGGTTTGAACAGTTGCTAAATGAGCAGTCATAACCTGTGTAACACACTATTATTGTTACTTTATTCTATACATTATGCATTACTTACTTTATATTATCTCACATATCTTGTGCCATATTGTTATTATATTTAGTCTTCAGTTTAAACTTCTTCCTCTTTGGATTTCTAAAGAGGGGTCCAACTAATTTACTCTATTCTCTCTTACAAGCCACCTTTAAAAAAAGTTCTTGAATCTACCTCAGAGGACTGAAATGTTGTACAGTTCACCGTTTGGGACAATTCCTATTATAGGTTGCTTATGGTGAGGCCGTGCCATTTTTTGGGAGGCTTAATAGTACTTGGCTTCCAGGGCATCAGGATTGGTCAACTGCACTTTTCTCCCTTGTTAATTAAATCCTTTCTCACCAGCCATATGTCATCCCTGCCCCTTGGTTCCAAATCTAAATGGACAATTTATTCCATAGCAATATTTTCCCCTGGATTTTTTTTTAAAGGGGTAAAGCAAGCATGTGTGGAGCCAGTTATCTGTAAGAATGACCACATGGAAAATTGAAGTTTACTGCAATTGACAATTGACTCAGTCAGTAAATGAGCAGAATCAATGACTATTCATGGTTGAAGGAGTTTATATGTGGCTACATAGGGGCAAATGGCCATTTATTTCTGTATCAATGTAATCAGGATTACAGTAATGCCTTCCTTTTCCTTCCAAGAAGCAAAACAATCACTGCTGGAAATAAGAAAGTTAGGCAAAGACAAACATCAAGAGGAAGAAAAAGTATCTGAAGGGTAGATCTAATCTCCTAAACCAACAACTAATGTAGGCATATATAGTACAATACTAATGGACACCTGGAGATTCTAGGCTGCATGTAGCACCCCAAATTGCAGTCTCTAGTCAATGAAGTCTTACTTCCTCAAATATTAATGCAGTATTGTCCCCATCCCAAAGATTGCTCACTCCTGTTTGTGCTCCTCTTCCTTTGCCATTAGTTCCTGCCTCTAGCAGATTATTCCCAGAGTTCATTTGAGCAGAGAAAACAGACCCATTTCTGCACTAGATAATAGCTTGTTTTTTTGGATTGGGTCTTGCTCTTCCTCCACATCTAGGACAACTTGCCATAGACATCTCGCCACGGCCAACTTGCCAAGGGATAACTCATCGTGGGACAGTTCCACGCAAGATAATTCAATGCGATAAATGTTATCCGCCACTATTTTTGTCAATGGAAAGAATGTCAAAGAAGCAATGATGGATAACATTTATTGCATTCAGTTATCCTGTGTGGAATTGTCTCATGGCAAGTTGTCCCACGGTTGACTGAAAGGGATGAGTTGGCTGCAGTGAGTCATCCTATTCCTCCCCCTTCATAATGACTAGGAAGAAATAAACAGTTATTGTGCCTTGATATACCGAAAAAGCAATCTTTAAATGGATGTCTTGAGCTGTTTACTAAATACTAATCAAATTCTTCCTGAATCTGGATATAATTGTTGATACAAATCTCTTCCTTGTGCTTTTACTAGAGTAATGAGGTAGGGTTGGAGCAATCCAGGAATGTGTGCCAAGGCATTAAATACTAAGGCATGGTTTATTGTGAACCACAATAGCATTTCTTTAAAGTTTTGGGGAAAGTCTTTGCAGAATAATCTCAATCTGGTTCCATTTAATATCACTCATTAAATAATTAAAATTACTTCTTTCTTGGGCTCATACGTGGAAATCACAAATATTGTTTTTGTCGTATTTGTGGAAATGTTTTAAATTATTTTAGTAGAATTAGGTGTATACAAACACAGGTATGATTCAGTAAACTACAGAATTATTGCTTAAGTTCACACACTGGTAAGTTAGTTACCTAATTCAGATGAGCCTACTCATCAGATCTGATGGGAATTAATATTTTTGGTTTCAAAAATTTGAAAGTGCACAGTACTCTTAATCATTGGTCATAACTTTATGATTCCTTCTGTACCTAAATTGATGTTTTAGGTCCCCTACAGCAACCAATTAATTATGGCATTGGTAGAAATTTAATTTTTCTTTCATTATTCTCATTTTTAAATGTACCTCCGTATCGAGTTTCAGCCATATGAATTTTTCTAGTCATAGCATCATCAAACATGCAAAACGAAGGTTCAAGCAAACATTGATTTCTTCATGAAGCAATAAATACAAGCTAATTCCATGGTTTACTGTAAGGTTCTCCTCACACTAAAACCTTTTAATGCAACCTCTTACAATTTAAAACAAGCATCGTCAAGACAATTCTGCTAATAACAATTCATTTGCAAATTCAGAACCATTTCCCTTACATTTACTTTGACCACGTTTTACAAACTTTCAGGAACAGCCTGTTGTAGAGAACCATTTTTAAAAATTAACTTACTGATGCAGGAATAGAATAAAATAGAATAACAGAGTTGGAAGAGACCTTGGAGGTCTTTTAGTCCAACCCTCTGCTCAGGCAGGAAACCCTATACCATTTCAGACAAATAGTTGTCCAGTCTCTTCTTAAAAACTTCCAGTGTTGGAGCACCCACAATTTCTGGAGGCAAGCCTTTTCCACTGATTAATTGTTCTAACTGTCAGGAAAATTCTTCTTAGTTCTAAGTTGCTTCTCTCCTTGATTAGTTTCCATCCATTGCATCCATCTCCTTGATTCAGTTCCAGGAACTGAAGAACATAATCAGTAAAAAAACCTAGTCATACAACGGCTAATGGCTTTAAAGTGCTCTGACACAGAGGTGGTTTTGCTTTAAAAAAATGCACAAATGGCTACCAGTGGCTGCTTGTCTTGATCGCTATCTGCTAGATGCAACATGCCTTGAATGCCAGGCTGTTACAGAGCAACTGGGAAACTTCCCCCTTCCCTGTTTTGAGTTATCTGAACGTATCTGGTTGACCTTTTTGTGGCCTAGAATACTCATTCCCCCCCCAAGCAAAATTATGCATTATTCAAATATATGCACCAAACGCCTCTTCTATTTACTGTTACATGGAAGCAGTAAAAAGGAATGTCAGGAATGCATAGATTAACAGGGTGAATTTTTATTCAAGGTAAAATAGCAGTGTTGCTTTGACATCAGCAATAAATAACAATGAGACAGATGTCAGTCATGTGTATTTCCAGGTAAAACAGCCGTTTCCCCCCCCCACACACACACACTTTTGGCATTAGCAGTCAATAGAAAGACTTTGTTTCTGGGAATCAATTTATTCTGTCAATAATCACGGTAGCTACACTTTTATGCTCGTTTCCTTGGAATTAACTGCCATTCAGCTTAGGCTGAGTAAACACTTGATTGCACACATTACTCTAAGTCATAATGTGATTTCCTTTTGTTTAGTATGTTGCATGAACTAAGCCACTGAGGTTTTTAAACTTATTGGCTTAGCGTTTTGTGTGAATCCTGGCAATTGTGACTTACTCAATAACTGTGAATAAATAAACCATGCAGCGTACAAACTCAGCCACCTAATACTTCTGCATGAATAGTACTGCAAACTATTCAGAACAAGCTCTAGTTAAAAAGTTACTATAATTCTTACAAGAGGATTATTTCTATCCGTCTACATCTATCTATCTATCTATCTATCTATCTATCTATCTATCTATCTATCTATCTATCTATCTATCTATCTATCTATCTATCTATCTATCTATCTATCTATCTATCTAGTCTCTCTCTTTTTCTCTCTCTCTCTCTCTCCATAGCAGCTTAAGTGACTCTGGCTGGTTTACAATAAACAAATATTTTTCAAGTCAGCTCTGAGTTCCAAGTTATGCTAATTTCAGATATATATATTTTATTACTATAAGCAATATAAAAATTCACCAAGAATAAGTCAAAGAACATACGTATCAACTTCTTTGCATCCTAAATCCACAATGTCTTGCATAGAATGGATTTTAGAGTTAGACATTTGGGGCTGACTACTCAATTTGCTTGTCAAAAGAGAAACTAAGTAATGCCTGGTGTCCATGTTCAGTTATGAAACCACGTCCAGTGAAGATTCTAGCTGTGAAGAAAACTCCTTTGAAGGTGATTCAGATAATGAGATGGACAGAAAACATGGGAATGAAGAGCAAAGTTGGGGGAAAGATGTCAAAGAAGGTGAACAATCAACATCTGCTACTCCTCAAAGTGCAAAGAAGGACCGTGATCCAGAAAAACTAGAGGAAACCACACAATCAACAATGCAAGATAAAGCTGAGCGGTAATTACAGCTTTGTATATAACTATAAGCAACCAGTCCATAACAATTTGTGTTTCATAACATTATCTGCAGGTGAAATATATAGTGAGAAAAATAATATCTGTGTTCATATAACGAAAAGTTACAACAGGGATGATATTTATTGATACAGGTAGTCCTTCACTTATCAACATTCATTTAGTGACCGTTCAAAGTTGCAACTGCACTGAAAAAATATGACTTATGACTGTTTTTCGCACTTACAACTGTTGCAGCATCCCCATGGCAACTAGTTCATATTTATGACGGTTGCAACGTTCCGGGGTCATGTGATCACCTTTTGCGACCTTCTGACAAGCAAAGTCAATGGGGGACCCAGATTCAATTAATAATCGTGTTACTAATTTAACAACTGCCGCAATTCACTTAACAACTTTGGCAAGAAAGGTAGTAAAATGTGTTAAAACTCACTTAACAACTGTTTCACTTAGCAACAGAAATTTAGGGTTCAGTTGTGGTTGTAAGTGGAGGACTACCTGTATTGTTTGAGCAGATCTTGGGTTTCATGTAGAATGTATATTTAAGTCCTTATATTTAATTACAAAGCTAGCAATAGATTTATAAGCATCTGTTTAAATTAGTGGAATTAACTTTATAATAGTGATGCTGAAAAAAAAAAGGCACTTTGCACTCTAATAGAAAAAAAAAATCAGATGAGAGAATTTAATGTTTAGCCTGTGGGCCACCTCTGCTCCATCAAAGCCTTGAGCCATTCTGTAGACAATGCCATCTTCGTGTATGCAGTAACTTACCAGCAGTTGTATAATTCTTGTGAAAGAACTTTCTCTCAAGGAAACCCATGATAAACTGGAGCCCTGCTCCTAACTAGGCAGGGTGTTGTGTGTATGAAAATGATGAATATAATCTAAGGAAAATCATGCAATTTGAATCTAGCGTGCTTCACTCCATTGGATTGTGGCCAGTATTGTTAACATACTTATTGTAGGGAAGCATTTAAATTCTTGCTGTAACCCTAACTGCTATTTTGACTTTCTGCTTTGAACTTTTCCAATAAGTTAGGAGACTTTTGTGTACAAAGAAAGGCCTTAATAATAAAAGTAGCATTGGTAGTAAAGGAATAAAAAGAAAAGTTACTTAGGGCTTGAGGGATTCATAATAAGGTCCCCTTGTCCATTACCATAGCTATATATTTTTTTCCAATTCCCAATCACCATTCCATATCTATTTCTTAGGTAAACACAGATAATTATGTTTTTCATTTTCAGATTTAGACCTTCCGGAGATTTTCTCAAAGGGTGCCAGATCTTAAGCAAAAACATGTCAGAAATAAGGACCACAAAGGAAAAATTCCTGGTACTCCTATTTTTTTTCACTTGCATTTTAATCATGTGGGTTTTTTAAATCTTTCTTTAAAATCTTATAATTTACGTTTAATTTTATATAGGAGCACTAAGTGTAAATACTCATAGGAATTTTGAACTTCCTCTTCTCAAAAACCACATTGCATTTTTGGGTAGAATTTAATGACTAAGTTAAGTGTAAGTGCAAATAACACATTCATAAATATATGAACTCCCTGTCATCCTTGTAAGGGACAACTAGAATTCCTGGTCTCGTTTCTGATCCAGCATTTTAACGCCAACATCATTGACTCTCAAATATTATGGTTTACTTATCTGATAGCAGATTAGTTTTAAAAAATCCAGCTAGCTAAAATACTGAAGATAGAGGTGTCATAAATTAACCATCAATCCAAGCAATGTAGCTAAACATAATTACACTATGAACCCTTACTCTTCTTACTCTTCTTCATCCAATAATCTTAGGGGCTATATCAGAGAACAAAAACAACAGAAAGTGTGGAAAATTATCCATTTAGAAGAATTAGGTGGGTGTCAAATGAACAGAGAGTGTAAAGAACTCTCCAGAAAATATAAAAAATTTTGGGGAAAAAGAGAAATCCTCCCAATAATTTAATTTCCACAATAGAGCATTCCATAGATTAGCTAGACGTGCATGGTTTATTTATTTATTATATTTATATGCTTCCCATCTCATTGTTGGAGAGACCCTGGGTGGCATATAAAAACACTTAAAATTAATGAACCTGAAATAGAGAAATAGTTTCTTAAATATATACTCTGACTATATGATAAATTGAAGGGACAACTCTTGAATGTATTCCCCTCAGAATTTAATGAAAGGAACTTTCTAGTAGAAAGTTGCAAGCAATCCAGTTATTTCAGATACAATATTATTCATAGCTTTTAAATAAAGCTGTAGATTTTTCCCTAATAAATAAAAACCCATTTATTCCCAAGAGGTCAAAGTGAGATTCTTGTGGTTTGGGTTGGGAGTCAAAAAAATAATAATACAAACATGGTTGGATAGTTTACAAACACCGTTAATCTAAATCAGATCCTGATCTTTTTAGAGACATGTATTGAGCACTGTCTGTCAGGAGTGGTTCCGGATCTCGAGCAGGAAATCGTCTTCTCCTGAAATTGTTGCAGCTTACCTCCAGGAGATTGAGGCGGTTCATCCCAACCTACAGAGTGTCATTGTCAATTTAGCCGATGGAAATGGCAACACAGCCCTACATTACAGTGTTTCGCATTCTAACTTTTGGATTGTGAAGCTTCTTTTAGAGACAGGTAAGAATCCTTGATTTAAGCTTTGTTTCCATTGGCTGGGCTTTGAAAAGTCCCACAGAATTGGCCTTTTCCATTCCATTTTATACCGCCAAATCCAGTGTCATAGATGCCCGGTACAAACTGCCATGATGAAAAATGACCAAATGTTCTCTCAACCCCTCCCCTGCCTTTCATATTTATTTCCCAAGGTTGGACCTATATTGCATCATGATTTTGTGACACATTTTGGTCATCATTTTGGTGGATGTTCTACTAAGTTTGTTTTACTACATGTTATACTGTACATGGAAGAAATCAAAGGCTATTTATCTATTTCTGTTGTCTGTCATTCCAGTCTCATTTATTACTATATTCTATTCTTAGGCTTTAGGTGTTCAGTCTTTAAAATTAGTTTTTTAAAATTTTCTTTAGTAGTAATAGAGAAGGAAAAGGAAAAAAAACAAAATCCAAAGAAAGTTATAATGCAAATACAAACATTCACCCAACAATGCATTAAAAAATACTTTAAAAAGTTTAAAAATCAAGAGAGAAAAACAAAGTATAGTCTAATATATTGTTATAACACTTAAGAGTTTCAATTCTATATATACCTATATAATGTAAGTATTATTCAAGTGTGTGGATTTCTAATACACTTATATAACTATCATTATTTTTTAGGTTTTAGCTTTAAGTTTTAACTTCAGGTTTTAATTTTAGGCTTTCTTGACTTATGCTAGAATCTTTTTGTGAGTTGAGCAGCCTAACAAACTAAATAAATAATCATGAGAGTCTTCCCTTGTTGCATTCCTAAGAATCAGTAGACTTGACAAAGCAGACATATGATGGAACCTCCACAATCTAATTTTGTTGAAAATTGTTTCATACTTTAAGCATCAACCATATTCCCTATTTATGTTTAGCAGCTGAAGGTGAATGAAACTTTTTAAATATTTTATGGCATTTGGTACATTGAGTATAAGAGTGCATGCAGCAAAAGTACATATTCTATGTCAAGAATTGAACTAATATTTCATAATTAGGAATTGTTACTTGTAAGCTTTTAAGATTGTAAGAGAAGTGATCATTAGATCAAATAGAAAAGTCTTGTGAAATTCTCATCCAATAAACATGAATGCATTTTCTACTGAGAAGAAAGAAGCTTTGTTACTATTGAGTTGGCATGACAATCTATAAAATGTTAGAAAAGTGGCATATTATCATAAGTGTCTGTAAATCAATTGTTGCGCTAAAATTTCCTAACAGCTCCAGAAGATTCAAACAAGGCTGTTTTGTTCTGCCAGTAGACTGCCCTCGGGCAATTATGTTCAGAGCTACACACGGACTTTAAATACTAAATTGTTTCAAGTCTTTATGAAAAAAAGGAAGAATGATCTAAAGTTCTAGTAATGATTCAGTGCTTAAAGGACACCCTGTATTTCTCTTCTCTAACTGATTGCAAGCAAATGTCTTTATCAACTTTGCTTCTTGGGATAATTTCTTTAAAAAGCACCCATTCTGCTCCTGAACTACCTTTTTCTTTACTCTTTACTCACTGTAGTCTGTTCTTTTGTTCTTTTACTTTGCCTCTTTCTTTGAGGAATTCTACCCCCAAAACTATGGTTATTTGAAAGTTTAGCAGAAAAAAAGGATGGTTGGATGGATTGCATGGATGATGGTTAGGGCAATCAGTATCTGATAGGAGTACAGGAAATAAATGGAAAATGTAGACATTCAATCAGACATGATGGATAAAATCTAGTTTACATCCTAAAAGATTTCGATGAGTTGGTTCTGTTGGACTAATTCTGGCTCTAATCCATATTTGTCTAATGAAGGTAACTCTTACTTTCCCTATTATTTCCTATTTTTTTTTTGCCCAGAATCCAACTGTATGGAAACATATTTTGAATGAAATTGTAATTCTGTTTATTATCTCAGCATATTTTCTTGGGTGATGTTCAAGTTGGCATTAATTGTCTAGATAATTTTGCATACTACTGACCTCTGCTGACCAGAGATAAAAAGTGTCACTATTACTTAGCGGCCTATTTATGTTTGTAAAAGGATAACATATCAAGATCTTATATATCAACAAAAATATTCTGAAAATACTTTACAAATGTGTTCAAAAATCCCGACTAGTAATCAAGAATTACCCTTCCTGGGATGAGACGAAATGAATCAAGAATTCCTCATTAAGATGCCTTTTTATGCTTCTGTGTTTGTTGGAGGTAGATTCTAAATAAAGTCAAAGGAGTAAAGTTGATGAAAAGAGGGAATACAACAAAATTTCAAGAAGTTCCCATTATGATTTTCCCATGGTCTGAAAAAACATGTGAGTATTTTCCCAAAGATGCTTTTTCAAGAGGCAACTGGACTTTCTTTGTTTTTCCTTGAAGACATTTCACTTCTCATCCAAGAAACTTCTTCGGTTTCTTGAAAATCCATCTACCTCTTGAAAAAACACCTTTGGGACAACATTGACCTGGTTGACTGATAATCTCCATAAACATGTGAATATTCTTTATAAAATCTATCTTGTAAATTAACTATCCTAAAGCGGAAGCAACAGAAAGGGCTTTCTTGGTTAATGCAATTATCTGTACATCTTCCTGGTTTGTGTTATGAGGAAATAGATTTATAGTAAATATTATAGTGAAGAATGCATCCTAAACTGGGATCAGAGAGGAGTGCAGCCAGACAAATCACTCAGCAACTAAAGATCCTGCTGCCAATGCTGGCCAAGACTGAAAGGTGTTTTTTTTTATAATTCTCTCATTCAGTGCAATAGAAGTGAGAAACCATAATCTATCAGCTCTTGTCTCTATAGATGTAGAGGCTGAGGACAAAGATTATTCTCCTTACATACATGATACCGAAATGTGTATTAGGCAGAACTGAAGCTACCTGTTGACCTTGAAGGAAGGAGACAGATAACAAAAAACAGATTGTGGTCTTTTCTGTGGTGTGAAGGGCATCAATATATGGGTACAATAACAGACATTGTTTTTGTTAGAAGGGGCTAGGACATGTGGAGTCTCCTTAGAAGATTAGAATGTAGAGGTTCTGGGTTAGCCCACAGCAAGGTCACCCCATGTTGTAGTTATTAGATATCCTAAATATCTAATATTCCTGCATGTTAATGCATTGCTTTTGTAAGCCTTGTGACCATTTTCAAATGGAATAACCGTGTGAACTTTGGGGTTTCACTGTCGTACAATGGTCATTCAGCTGAGGTGAAACCTCTTCCTCTCTACTAACAGAGTTACTCAGTGGAAGAGCAGCTCAGTAGAGGAGAAGTAGTTCAAACTAGGTAGGCAGGATCAGGTTTTGACACTATAAATAAATCAATTTAGGAAAGTCTTCTTCTCCGATTACTGATATCTAAATCTTTGTTTTTTTCTTCAGGTGTTTGTGATGTGGATTATCAAAATAAAGCTGGGTATACAGCAGTAATGATCACTCCACTAGCATCAGCAGAGACCGAGGAAGAAATGGAAGTAGTCAAGAAGCTCTTGCAAGAAGGCAATGTCAATATAAGAGCTAGCCAGGTATATTTAATTTTTTGTTAACTCCGAGGGCTACTTTGATGATGTTCTCCAATAATGTTTCATTATTTGTGTATTATTAAATCATGATATGCACGTATCATCTAGGACGAAGAACTCCAAAATAAAACCAGGAAAAAAACAAGAACAAACACTTTTTTATATAGTAGCTAAGAAAACTGAACATGGTTACAGTATTTAGAGATGTTTTGGTGTTAAACGATGAAACTCATCAGATCAGAACATCCTTCTCTAGTTAATAGAAAACAGCATTAAACTTTCGTGAGTAGATCTGGAGACAATTTCATCACAAGGAATCTAATCACCGAGAGGCCAGTACTAAAGAGTTCCTTTGATTGGAACATAAAATGTGAAGAGCGGGAATCAAGGAAGACTTTAAATTGTTAAAATAGAAGTGAAGTAGACTAAATTACCGTAGTTATTTTAGGAATAAGTAGTCCTAGGTGGATTGGATCTGGTCCATTTTACTAATTGCAAAACTTGCTGAATGCAACTTCTACAGAGTTACTCATAGGTAATTAGAATTAAGAAATTGAGGAACTTGGAATTACATCAAGGTTTACATTGGGTAAATGCCATAATGCTGCAGAAAGGTTTTGTGGAGATGCTTTTGGTTCAATATGTGCTTTAAACCATGTAAACACACATTCTATTTCCAGTCCTGGACATTAACAGATGGATTAACATCAACATAAATAAAACTGACCCCATAATAATAGTAATAAATAAATCAGAAGATGGAGGTACAATCTACTAAGAGTTTTTATAGGTACAGATTGTGAAACAGATCACAAATATACGGGTATTCAGGTTATACCTATATAATTGTGGTCTGAAATCTCTTTAAAAATTAAAGAGATTAGCTATGCCATCAAGATTTCATTTGGAGACTATACAATCGTATAAAATTGTATATTCTGTATTGTAATATATATACTATATAATATATGTAATATATATTACATTATATCATTATAAATGATATATAAATATATAATAAATCTAACATATATATTATATATGTTACATAATATATTATACATTATATATTGTACATACATGATCAATATAAGGACCCATTGATACACATAGGTGGATCTATCGCTAGCTCGGTGCTGCCAGCACCCTCTGACAGGTCTCTCGCTTGCCCTCCTGCCAGCGCCTCCCCTATCACTGCCCCTCTCTGACAGCCTTCTCACTTGCTCATCCGCTCACTCGCATAGCTTCCCATCTGGTGCCCGCAGCGAGTTAACCCTGCAGTGACTTTCCTGTGTTGACATGTCCTGCAAAGAAATGGTGGCACCAAGTTGGCAGAAGGGACTTGGTGGTGGCAAGCAGGATGCACCTAGCTGGCTGCACCAAGCTAGTGGGTGTTGAATTGTCCCATTCTGCACATAGGTTATGCAAAAGAGAACCTAGGCACAATGGGAAGAGGTAGGCACTGTGAAAACAGAAATAGGG